CATAAGAGTACACAGGGTGTTCTTAATACACCTGTGCTTTGGAAATTATGACAATAATTAATTTATCTTTATCTAGTGGCAAAGAGTGGACTTTCCCAGTCATAAAAGNAGAAAGTTTGAAGGTGAAGTTTAGACACAAGCATTTTGATACGTAATTCATTCTCAAGTCATTAAACAAAATGCAAATTAACGGATCGTATTCTAGACTCCCTCATAAGAATACACAGGATGTTCTTAATACACCTGTGCTTTGGAAATTATGACAATAATTTATCTTTATCTAGTGGCAAAGAGTGGACTTTCCCAGTCATAAAAGAATGCAACAGGCTTGGCCGATGTGGCTCGTTGGTTGAGTGTCGTCCTGTGCACCAAAGGGTGGCCAGTTCTACTTTGGGCAAGGGCACATGTCCGGGTTACAGGCCCGATGCCAGGTCGGGAGCATGCAGGAGGCAGCCGATCAATGTTTCTCTCTCTCTCCCCCCTCCCTTCATCTCTCTCTAAAAATCAAAATTTTTAAAATCTTTAAAAAAAGGAATGCAGCGGCATGCAGGACTTTACCAGGGAAGACTACATGAAAGCCACATGTGTCAGTGAAAAAAAGATCTGGAACCCCAAGAGTCACACTGAAAAGGGTAGTGTTTCTAGGTGAGGAGGACCACTGACTAAGGAAAGCACCCCTGTCCCCTCGTGCTTCACTGTCCCTTGACATCTCTCATTGTGACTCCTGCTGTCATGTGTCACGTCCGCTTTAGTGTGGTACCGAGAGTATGAGCTCTGCTGGAACAAAACTCTTCCTTTGATGTCCTTTTATGCAGGTAAGTAGGCCAAACGAGGCATTTCAATAAAAAGAGACAGATACTACAGGACGTAATCATGTCTCACATACAAAGGAAGAATGCTGTTACGACAAAATTAGTTTTCTCTATAGCTGTCTGATCCAATTCAATCCCCTTACGAAGCCCAGGGTGAAATGGTCTTGCCTCGGCTTCTAGCTGACAGCCCCTGCCAGTCTCCAGTGATCTCCTGGACTGTGCAGCCTTCCTACTCTCAGGCTATAGGGAGCTCAAGTTTTTTCTTTAGTTACCTGAGATCCTTCCTTTGAATCCCTGTTTCCAATTTGAGCACATGCCTGTTTGCCAGGTGACTCGCGTTGTTGAAGCCGCTTCTGTCACTGGATGCTCAGTGACCAAGGCTGGGTGTCCCTGGCCAAGGCAGGTGTAAGGAGTCTGTTGAACAGCCCGAGGGAATACAGTGAACGAGTGGGGGTAGCCGTCAAGGCCTGACAACTAGAGAGAGAACGTCTCAGGGTCAAGGGCAGGGGCCAGAAACTGAAATCAGGATGGCACCACAGAACCAGAAACTAGGATCTGAAATCAGAGGAGGCAGAACAAGCCAAGGGGTGGTTCACAGGAATGGAGCTGTGGTTTGTTTTTTTGGACCTAAGTGTATACAAGTTGCATGGTTCGGTGGAATGGCTTTAAGATACATGCCAACAGCCAGAAATGACTTCACCTTTTAGGTGAACTACGGATGTCTTCCCACATTTTCCTTTTTTCCTATTAAATAAGTGATATTAACATCACAAAGGGATGTTTACACTTATAGACAGTGTACATTATAATAAAAACTTAGAGCATTTCTTTTATTTCATTTTTCTCAGAGGTTGATGTAAAAGTATTACTATACCTAGAAGACAGAGGAGCTCAGATCTCAAAAGACTTTGAATTGTAATGAGGGCAGTGGACATCTAGACAGCACAGGCCTTTAGAGTATGCTTGTCATGATAAGGTTGAATGTCACCTCTTTGCCTGGCTGATTTATAATGAGGAAGAGAGTGAGGGATAGTGTTGGCTGGCAAAGTCACCCACAAAGGAAAATGTAGCTCTCCCACCC